TGAAGTCAAAAAGACACACTGACAAAATTAAGGATATTTCGAGAGTCTTTGACTAATAAGATTCTTTTTTAAATCTCAACACTTACAGTGATAATAAACTAATTTCAAATAAAATACTTAAACATGTTAAAACTTACACAACTTGGGTATGTTGTTTCATTGCACACTGAAACTAACTTTTAAATGTAATTAGGTAAATTTTACCACAAATGTTACATAGTCATGATTTTTTCCATTATGTTTTAAATGTATGTATATATAATATATGTACATGTATGTATATATATGTACATATATTTATATATGAAGTACTACAAACACAACAATTGACTCAGGTTTGTTGCAAATAAGTCGATATCAACTGAGAATATTTAAAACTATATATGTGTAATAATTATCAATGTAAATAAATTTTAACAAGCTTTACATTACTCACTTGAAAAACTTGTTCTACCTCCCCCAGTATCCATACTTCTTGCCTTTAACTTGCTTGGTTTAGACCAAACAAAACTGAAAGTTGATGGTATCTAATTGAAAGCTGCCATCTCATATTTAATCTTGGGCTTCTAATCTGACTCTTTTATTTTTTAATTATGTCAACATTATCTTATTTCATTATTGTGCTGATTATTTTTCATTTGCTTTTAATTCTTTTATCTGTTGTATTAAGCTATCATATCATACATAAACTTTTATTTCCCTTTTTCATACAGGGTTTTTGAAATTTATTGTATTTAACATAAGGTATTTGCAATAGTGTTGACATTTATGATAAGGCTACTTCACATCACCACTACCACCAAAATACCAAAGTGATTGCTAATTTTTACAGAATTTGAGGACTCCAATGTATATGGTTCACATTGAGTATACATTTTTATTGAATAAATTAATTTTATTCCCAATATTGCTGACCTTATAATCATAATGCTGATGGCTAGGTCATTTCTATAGGTTTTCAGAGTTTGTCACCTACATTAAATTCATAGGTAAAGGTAAAGGTAAAGGCCCTCCCGTTGATCGTCGATTTGCTCGAGCGGGTCCAGTAACGTCTCCATTGGAGACTTTGTTGTTACTGTGTCTGGCATATCGAATACTCTCGGTAGCTTGCCGGGCTCTCCGAGAGGGGCAGAGGAATCGAACTCGGGTCGGCCATGTTGGCCGCTTGTAAGGCGAACGCCCTACCTCTGTGCTATCGCTCCAGCCCTTAATTATTAATTATTTTAGAGTTATGTCCAAAAAGTTTATAGTTTTCTCACCTTTAATAATCAGTCATAATTAACATTGAAGTTTTGTTGTGTTTACTTTTAAGTATAATTATTTAGGGACAATGGTCCAAATTTTTAATTAAGTCAAATCAGTTTTTATTGGATAACAGATGGACACTTAATGCTTAATATGCTAATATTTGCTTTCATTATGCCAGAAGACCAGTTAGAAAATAACACTGACAAAAATATGCCACTCATAATAAGAAGTAAAATATAAAAATAACCACATAACCTAGAAATAAACGTAACAAAAATTGACCCTTGTAAATAAATCTAAAGTTTGATTGAGAAGAGAGGCATAACACCAAGATTCCAAAAATGAAGAATTTTCATTTTTATTCTACTGGGATCGCTGCAAATTCTATACAAACTTAGGTCAGCAATAGATTTGAACCTGAAACCCTGACAAATAAGGTATAGCAGAAGCGATGCTAGACAGATTTGATGCAGAGAGCAGCCCTATCCAAAATCAAAAACAAAAAACAAGAAGCCAAAATAATAATAATAATAAAATGATTCCACCCATAAACTACAGCAAAGTAAATGTTCCTAAAGCACATATTTTTTCCCTGGGAAATAGAGGCTTATATTGAATGTCTGGCAACCAAAGTGTGCAACCTTATAGTAGCATTGCAGAAATGGAGGCATAATATTATCAAGATATGATGGGGTCAGAATCACCAATTGGTACCATTCTGATGACCTTGAACTCTTCCCAGTGGATGCCGTATTGAATCTCTCTGTCTTTTTTTTTATTATTATTTTATGAATCTCTCTTCTGAATAACAGATCTTGAGGGGAAATTCCTAAACCCCATGCATATAATGATTATGTCTGAGTTAACTGAGGCTAGGAGATATTCTTAACCTTGCAGCAAAAAACAAAAACAAGCAAACTAAAAACCAAAAAAACCACCTGGCCCTTCCAATATAAATGTGACTGCTAGTAATCAATTAGCACCTCCACAATCAAAAAGTTCCTTAGGACCTCCAAAAGAGCAGCCGGTTAGTCAGGAGATGGCCACTGGGTACAGTTTACTGTGTTCCAGCTCATTCTTGAAAAGCGTGCTCTGTGGCTGAAGCCCACCACCTCCCATAGTGTCCCCAGTTTATGCAGGCTTGTGTGACTTAAGTGGTAACAGAGAATCATGGAGGTAGTTAGTCACTGGAGCCTTTTGTACCCCTGGTTTCTGCTCAAACTCTCCTAATGTTTGTAAACGTGTTCCTGCAAGCACTCGTGGCTTTGGGTTCCTAGTCACCATCCTCTAGGTCTGTTGAAACTTAGCACACAAGTAATCCAAACACTTTGAAGATCGAGCTACTGCTCTCCACTGCTCACATCTTCTGGAATTTGGTTCATAGGTAGGTGCTCTTGCATCTAATAAACTTGCATCCTGGATCGACCATTGCATTTCAGTGTTTTCTTAATATTTCTGAACTTCACATTTAGAATTGTAGTCAACAAGTAGTATATAATATTTGGGGGAAAAAAGAAATTCTACCATTCTTAGAAATAATAGAAACCTTTAGTAATTGTTTCTTAGGAAGAGTATCATTCGGATTTAATCATGTTACATGTATGATGCACTAGCTTAGGACTGTTGTTTGAATTCTGAACAATATACCAAAACAAATCTTATGTTTAAAAAATTACAGTTTTTAGAGTTAATGCTTCATCTTATTTTTTGAGACTCACAGTAAATTTGTTCCTGACAAAGCAATTACAATGGATGAAAAATTTAGCTCGGTAATATATATTATGTATATATCATGGGAACAGGTTAACACTTAGACCAGAAGGAGAAAAAAATGAATACTCATTAACTGACTGATGAATATAAGGAAAATAAGTTCATCAAAGAAGGCAATTCCCAGTCCTCATGCATTCTTGTACTTCCTTCTCCCAGAATGAGAGCTCAACTGAGGCATATAATATTTGACATTCAGTCTTAGTCTCCCAAATCACAAAATGTTGCTTATGTATTTAATAATAATGCTGAAATATGCAGACACTGACATTTATAAAATAATGTATATGATATGTGTGAATATGTATATTCAGGTTCAATAGGAGCAAGATGTTCTGAATTATATGTTCTTCTTTTCAGGTTAAAAATTAATAACAAAATTCTGAAGTCACCACATTTCATTCTACAATTCTGTAGCATCCTTGTGTAAAAATGATCTCTAAAATGTGTATGTCTGCTAATCTGAAATTCTACCACCATTAAACAACTAATCTGCTTTTTCTCTTTGCTCTAGATCCCAGAAACTGCTCTTCCATTCTATCTGCATAAACTTGGCCACACTAAATACCTCATAAAATTAGAATTACAGGTATTTGCAGCTCTAGTGGTCCATGGCATCGCACACAATGACTTCAAAGTTCATTCATATTGTATAATGTGATAAAATTTCACTGTATTTAAGTATGTCAAATTTCCATTTCTTCTGAATATTCTTTTACCCCAGAAATATGTTCACCAATACTGAATTTTAAAATGTCCATACTGATCCCTTGACTATTATTGACAGTAAGAAATATAGCATAGTAGTGTTGTACTTAAGATGTCTGGAGTTGGGGGAAATTGATAGTGATTTCTACTAATTAACATATTGTACTAAAAAAACTGAGTGAACAGTCAAAGTAATAGTTCAACTGGATGCAGAGCATGCTTCACCTCAAAGAAACAGTAATTTGATACCCAGAACTGCAAAGTTCCGCAAGGACTGTCAGTAACAAAACCAAGCTTCAAGCCAGGAGTAGATCCTAGCAGATTCATGTGAAGTCCCCAAATAACAACAATGACAAACAGAAACAACTGGGGTACTATTTATATATTTATGTTTTGGGCAACACTTGGTGGTTCTCAGGGGTTATTTCTGGCTCTCACTTAGCAATTACTCCTGTCCATCCTCAGGGGAAGATGTGGGACTCTGGGAATCAAACTTGGGTAGACCACAGTCAAAGCAAGAGCCCTACACACTATGCAATCTCTCCGACCCCCAGCAAACAGCGTTTTAAAATAGATTTTCATGTACGTACTATTTATTCTAGAGAAAAAACAATGTCATGTTTTTAATGCCATGTATCTGTGGGTCAAGTTATAAATAATATACAATAATATGTTTTAATCCATAAAAAACACAGATTTATTTTGTCTTAATTGAAGTTGTATACTATTTCTTTCTTTTCCTTTCTTTTAGTATCTTTATAGTAGTGTCTATCTTGGATGTATATAGACAGTGTTTAATGAATATATAAAATTCACATAAAATTTCATGTGAAATAAATAATCTTGCACAAAACAAAGAATTATGATTATGCATTTGTTGTCTTTCTGCTAGATCGGCTTTATGCTTGTAAATATTTCCTTAAGAGATCGTTTTGTTTTCTGGCTATCAGCACAAATATCTGTGTTAAACTTTACCATTCAATCTACTAACTATAGTTAATAACATTAGCAGATAACATTTATCCATGTTTTGCTATTGTTTTGCTGAATTTAAGCTTCTTGAAAATGCACACATTTTTCTGCTGCTGCTCTATTTCTAACACCAAATATCAAATAGATAGTAAATAACTGTTGAATTGTCAAAAGACAGATTGTATATACTATTGATAATATTATATTTTGAACACTACTACAGTAAAATTAAAGTAAAATAAAGTTATACACATATGTATAAATATATATCATGCACATATAGGAACAGTTATAGAATTTACCTTTCCAAAAATGCTTAATCTCTTAGAGTCAATGTATGGTTGCTTTAATAAAAATCTGCAATGAGAATTTTAAAAAGTTATCTTCTTGAATCAAATACACATAAGAATTCAAATCTGGGACTGTAGAATTATACCGTGCTTATAGCTCTTGTCTTGAACATGGCCAAGACAGGGTCAATTCCTAAAACCATGTGCGGTCCCGCAAATACTGCAGGAATGCCTCCTTATTGAAGAACTAGCAGTAACACTTCAGAAGTATATGTTAAAAATTGTTTATATTTGGCAGACATACATAAAAACACAAGTCAGAAATAACTAGAAATTGTTGTAGCTCTGCTTATTCTGTTTCTAAAATTGTTCTTGTTTAGAGGATCCCCAGGAATTTTTATACTGTTTTGCTAGTTTGTTATAAATTAATAAGTTGGTAACATTTCAGACCTACTTAATATCGAGTCCAATAATATCTTAGTTTAATTTTAGGCCAGTCTGGTAAAGATACTGTGCAAGCTTGAGTCAATAATTAATAGACCTTTAGATTATAGTGAATAAATAACAGTTGTTTAATTAAGGTCTCTCTCATTTTCATTAATCCATCATGAATTATACATTCACAAGAAAGTACAATATAATAGCTTTTCAAGTCTACAGTACATGGGAATAAAAGTGATAATCTAGATTATTAATATAGAAAATTGTCCAGTTACTAAAATTCAAATCCTTGAATCACTGGATCAGCAGTAGTAGTGACCATTGACATAGCTTCTGTTGTTATTAAAGCAATAAACATGAATATACTTACTTTACAGCTGCTATTTGGTCCTTTACTTCCACTGAACCTAACCTTCGATGAATCTCCTGTAAAATTTTTAGGCCCTGGAATCCACTTCCTCTGCCATCAAATCTTGCTATGATGACATTATCAGTGTCAATAAGTACTGAATCCCAGTCTATGTGGAACTTATCTGTAACCAGCTGTCCTCCTGGTTCTTCATCCCTGTACACACCAACACATGGGGTCAAGACAAGAACAACTGACAATCTGGTAGAAATTTTAGTTTTCACACTCCTTGGTAACAAACAATGTGAAAAAGGTCTATGGTGCTTGTTTAAATTCCTGTTAACTATTGAGGATAAATCAAAAACTCTAAATATAGTTCTCTTAGTAGTTTCTTAAATGTGAAATAGTGCAAGTTTTCTGGACAAAATTAAAAAATATTAAATAATTTGAAACTATATATAAAACTTGTTTTTCTTAAAGAAAATAGAAATACAAACTATTAGTTATCATCAACTTGACATACAGACCTATCTTCATTGGATTTCTTCCAGTATCTTTTAGAAATGCCTTAAAGATGTAATACATATGTCAAAGGCTCTACCAGTGAACAGAATTGGTAATGGAGACTTGCAAATAATTTAATAAGAAATGCAGAAGACTAAAAATGTCAGACTGTAAAGGAAACACTAAATAATTTCTGAACTTATTTTATTTTTTAGACCGAATTCTCACTGAGCAAAATTTAAGAAAATATGAGAAAATATTCTTTTTCATCCCTTAAGTTGACAGGGAAAAAAAAAAGAAAGCAGAGACATACTTGCTTGAAAACTTTGAAATCTAAAAGTGAAGGGAAAACACATTGTAAAGCAAAAAAAATTTCTGCAGGAGGAAGAGATGATGCAATTTAAAAATATCAGATTGCAATGGTAGCTTGTAGATGCACAATGATTCTTTAGGTACAAACCTACAAATAGTTTAATTATATAATTATCTCTGTGATACAGCAAAAGATTAAGGAAAAACCTTACTCTGTAAAGACCTACATTTGCAGCTGGGTTGTGTATCAAAAATCTTTATCTTATTTATTCACCTTCCCTTGCCCTTCTATGTATATATGTTACGTAGAAACACCTATACACAAACCAATATTTTAAAAAAATCTTCTTTTAAAAAAATCTTCTGTTAGGTCTTTTCCTAAGCAAATTACTCTAGATATGAAAGGGATAAGAGCAGATATGAGAGTTGTGTTCAGAAAATGATCCAGGGATGCCAGGAGAGTATCTTCAGTTGTACAGTAAGGAATTGATGGAGACCTAACAGCCTAGAAGTCTTTCATTATACAGTTTTCTGTTCAAGCAGGATCTGGCTTTTTTATTAGTACAAAACTAAATTCGGGTGGTGTCTTGGATGATCAAAATCAAAGAAATGTTGTGCATATTTTTTTGCACATCACCCGAACTAAAACCCTCCAGCCCTTATGTTTTTGGTTTTCTTAATCTTGAAGAGCATGTTTAAGTTTTGAGAATGAAAGGGGGCACAACCTTTTAATTATTTGATCACAACAATTTATATTTCTTAGAAAACTGCCTATGTAACTTTCAGGCAATTATTATTATTATATTTTTATATGGCCACGGAACCTCTTATAGTCTAGCAAACACAGCAATCTACTGAGAGTATCCTGCCCGCATGGCAGAGTCTGGCAAGCTCCCTGTGGCCTATTTGATATGCCAGAAACAGGAACAATAATGGGTCTTATTCCCCTGACCCCAAAAGAGCCTCCAATACTGCACTTTGAGAGGCTGCTAAAAATCTCAAGGCTGGGACGAATGGAGACATTACCGGTGCCCACTCGAGCAAATCGATGAAAAATGGGATGACAGTGATACAGTGATTATATGATATTGCAATATCATGTCTATTATTATTATTCCATCATAAAGAAACTATGTCATGGGAGTTTTTAAATCATGAGACACTTATCTAGCACATTTATCCTAGTTATGCTGTCTTTTTAAAGATTTTTAATCTTCAACATTATTTTGTTTTAGGGATGGAGTAGGTCTCTCCAATGGTGCCTGGAACGTAGAAATCATTCGTAGCAATATCAGCTCTTTTTTTTTTAATCAGTCTCTTGGTTTAATTCAGTGATCCAGGCCACCAGAGTCAAGTTTGAGGACTGGGTCTGGGGGAGAATACATACATGTTCTGGCATCAAACTGGAGGCCACTCTAAAACAGGCATGAACTCTACACTTTTCAGATACCTTCTTGGAACATTCTCTAGCTTTTATTTCAGTTTTGTGTGTTAGTTACTGGTTGAAAAATAATGGTACTACATATAGCCATGTGATCTAATTGAGAATTCTCAGGCTAAGACCTGGAGTTTCTGTCTTTCCCTGATATTCCTGGGTTCATGGCTATAACTTGTCTAATGTTTGAGAAATACATGAATCATTATCACTAACAGTTTCTAGACAGTAAAGCATATACCTACTGAACTTCACACTTTCAGGAAATGTGGATGCAGGAGAAATTAAAAATGAAAGAATTTAAAATTTTAACTTTTGTGTTTAAATACACTACACATTTGACACTTAGAGTTTTACCACAAATATCTGAATATAAGGTATCGTTGTGAACTCAACTTCAATCTCTTTAGGTTGAATAACGCCGAGTTTGAATAAACTCAAGTGGATTTAAAGGTTGAGTAACTGAAGCCTTTAAAATAATAAAAATGTGTCCCTATTTAATTCTGAATATAGACAAGATACTATAATCTTAATACTAAGTTTCCTAATGTATAATAATAGCAGAATAATTTCCTGTTGTCCTAAGATGTTTTGCATTTGGAAGAACCTCATGAAATATAATAAGTAAATATAAACCATTGTTAGATTGATTGAGCAATCACTGTCACTGTCCTCTCGTTGTTCATCAATTTGCTCGTGCAGGCCCAGTAACGTCTCCATTGGAGACTTTGTTGTTACTATGTTTGGCATATCGAATACATCACAGGTAGCTTGCCAGGCTCTGCCATGCAGGCGAGATACTCTCGGTAGCTTGCCGGGCTCTCTGAGAGGGGCCGAGGAATCGAACTTGGATCGACCATGTTGGCTGCGTGCAAGGCAAACGCCCTATCGCTGTGCTATTGCTCCAGCTGCGAAAAGTATTAATATTCTTTGATTAACGCCAATGTTGTTTATGTAAATCATATCTTCTTATAGTTTAAATGGAAAAACAAATACATAATTTCGGTCAGCTATGCAGAAATCATTCTGATGATACCTATGGACAAAGATACTGTGCCATGTTGTATGAGTTATTACATAATAGAAATCTGAGGGGTTTCCATTCTGTAGATTTATATATTTTTATAGAAATTAGGGTGAAGTGATTTTTACGATGCTGTTAGTTATCAAGAAAGAATTGTGGTACCCTAATCACTGGCTAAATCCCTAAGGCAATGCTGTCAAAATTTTTTTATAATTTGTAATCTATGTTTTCAATTTATGCACGGCTCATTTCATTGTTCACAATTAATTTAGGAATCTACAGCTAATTTAAAGAAACTGCAAATAAAGAGCAGAAACTTTTTGATGGTCATATGAATTATTTAAAAGCAGAGTTTATAAGAAGACACAATTATGTGCTTAACAAATAGTTGCATATTATTAAGAACAAAAGTTTTCAATTTCATGTTGTACTATATATAGAAAATATAATTTAGTCTTTGCTGACTATAAAATTTCCATTTGAATTCATTTTTGTATTTGTAAGATTTCAATGCCAGAACATAAAATTGTAGTATCAATTTTTACTAACTGATACTTTAAACATATTAATTTGACTACTTGGTTCTCCATGAAGATACAGTCATACCTAGTTGAAGATGAGATAGCACAGAAAGTGATTCATGAAGTGGAGCCTTAACATCTTACAGAACAAACCAGATTTTTATATAAATAGGGTAGAAATTCGTCACAGGAAACACTGAGTGGAAAATGTTAGACATTTTCCCATCAAATAAACGGAAGCTAATATTACCTTCAATCAGGTGGACAAACATTTTTTCGTGGGAATGAGTACAAGGAATGTACAAAAGACCAAATATATCATGATATAGTAAATGGTTACCATATTTCATGCAAATATTTACCATATGTAACTGGGGATACTCAATTCATTTTTTTAAATTAAAATGGCTTCCTCATCTGTTTTTTTCCATATTACATTGCTTTACTCTCTGCTTCTAAGCTGAATGAAATATTTTCTAATGAAAGCACTTTCCATGACCGATTATATGAAGTTTTGTTTTTCTCAGATGGCATAATTTTAAAACTGCTATACTCACAACTAACTGTATCTGTATCTATCGAGATGCTGGAAGTAGAGAACACAGCGTTGCTTCTAGTATCTGCGCGTTCTCCTTTTTCCTGGATTAAAATAGACTGACTTCGACAGCATGAGTTGAGTGAGAAACAATCATTGTCATTTTGTTTTAGATGCAACAAACTAACACCAAAAGTAAAAGGTGTTCTGAAATAAATTTATCTTAAATTCTTAACTAGAATATGGATCTCTGAATTTAGTAGGGAAATTTTTCATTAATAGAATGAATCATCTTTTTCCTACTCTTCTCATTTAAATAGAACTCTCTTCCTTGTATTGGTGTCATTTTCTATCTATTATAGACTCTTCTCAGTTTTGAGGGCATTTAATTTTATTTTGCTCTTGTATTTATTTTGAATACAAGTCAGAATTAATTTTCTAGGCATGAGACAAAATCTATTTAAAACCATCAGAACAATAAAGACAAAGGCAAAATCCAGTTCTTTAAATCAAATTATTTACATAGTAGTAGAAAGTCATGGCCAATTAAAAGAGTATATTGGAAAATAGGGTAAAATACTGCACATCAGGGATATTAATAAATCAGATATAAAACTCCAGAATAGACTCTTATTATTAGGCACACAAAATTAACCTCGGGATAAACATCCTACAGAGCCCATGCAACTGTCTGAAGAGGCCTCGGAGACATCTTGAAGCCAGTTGTGCAATAAAATAGGAAGAAATTCCAAACTTTTAATCATCTCTGCAGCCAAAGTTTTACTACATTAGTTCTTTCTTTGGGGGGTAATTTCTGAGTGAAAAGGTAAAAAGAAATGGGAATTTGATAAATTTACTTTTAATTGCTGGAACTGGCATGTCATC